GGAGCCGGCAGGCGGGGGGGGGAAAACCGGCCTCGTCGCCGCCGCGGGGAGATGGGGGGGATGGAGGAGACGGAGCTCTTCTCCCCCCTCCCCCGCGAGTATCGCGGGTCCCCCCTTGTCTATATACTAATAGCGAAGTTGCCCCCGTGCGTGCGGATACCTAAATCTGCACATCGGGGGCACCTGGGGGGGGAGGGAGATTTTTGTGCACACTTGGGGCAGTCCCAAGGTGTGCACAAAAATATAAAAACCCGGAAAAAATACCGGGGGGATACTTAAATCCCCCCAAAAGTGTCAGAGTTTCCCCTGCGTATGCGCAGGGGACGCTCTGCGAACTCCCTCGCCGCCGCCGCTTGGGGGGGGAAGAGAGCCGCGAGGCCCAAGCGGCGGGGGGGGAAGGCAAGGGGGGAGTTCGAGCGGGGTGGTGGTGGAGGAGACGGGGGAGGAACTGGCAGGATGGGGGGAACTTACCTCCTCCTCCTGCTTCCTCCTCTGCCTTCTGTGTGGAGGTCCCTCCCCCCCCTGTGAGTATCGCGGGTCCCGCCCCTTGTCTTGTATATTTGTAATACGTTGTAGACATGGGATGTCTCTTGTTGCATTTTGCATGTTGTAGGCATTGGTCTTAAATGTATTTTGACCACCATTGGGTATTTGGGTTAGATGTTACCCTGTTCTAAATTAGCATATTATAACTCAGAAGATTTACTGTCTGTCTCCCATCTAGAAGAGCTGTATTTGGTGGGTATGAAATATTACTGAGGAAGTAAGCCTTTTAATACATGTAATTTACGGAATAGGAAAATGTGATATTGAGAATGATAAAGAGGTTGGACACACGTTGGGGTGGAGGGAAGTCCCGTTGTTCTAGTTGTATTCAGTTGTTCTTGATACCCCCCTTCATCTTTTCATCCTGGGTTCTTCATTGTATTTGAAATAAGAATTTGTCTTGTTGTGTCCTTTTAGATTCTAAGGGAGCTCCAATAGTAAGTCCAGATGGTTTGCCTTTATTTGGACATGGAAGATTTAGCAAGCCTGTGGCAAATGCACAAGATAAACCAATAATAAGCCTTGGGGGAAAGCCACTGATTGGTCTTGAAATGGTTAAGAAAACAACCACTCCATACACAACAAGAACTATTACCACCACCACCACCACCACTACAACAACTACCACCACTCCTGAACCAACAACTACTGAGCCACCAACAGAGAAACCATTGCCTACCTGTCCCCCTGGCAGTTATGCTGAGTATGATGAAGAGGGGAATCTTGTATTAGACCTTAATGGGCTGCCTGAATGCAACTCTGAAGGTACTACCTAGTATTCTAGCTAAACAGTTTGTGGCCTTGTGTCTGATTCATTTCCAGGGTATGTAAAGCCTTTCTGTTCTATTGGTGGACAGTTGAACAAAAGCTTAGACTTGGTGGACAGTTGAACAAAGGCCAAACTACATGCTATGTGTGACATGAATCAGGTTGGGGGTCCTCCAACTTGAATTGCAGTCACATGTATGACCTAGGAACTTACCTTCCAAAGCATTCTGTTGCATGATGTGCTTTGGAATGCTGTGCATGTACTGGTATCATGTGACTGGGAGCAAGTAGAGCCCTACAGTGGGGGCAAGCAGGGGCCCCCCTGGGGTGTCTGTTTCTGCTTTGGAAAATGGTGTAGGTAGGAAAGTTGAAGTCCCTTTTCCCCCTATACAACATTCCTGAGCTGTATCAAGCAACAGAGTGCTTTGAAATGTGAGTTCCCTGGTCATACACGTGACTGTAAGTTGGGTTGGGGGGTTCCCAACCTGACTTGCATCACACATATTTTATAATTTGGTCCTTGGTGTGGACTTGAGCATAGATGGCTTTAAGAGGGGCTTAGACTCATGGAGGATGGGTCCATCAGTGGTTACTAGCAATGGCAAAGGGAACCTCCATGTACAGAGGCAGAAAACATCTGAGTAACAGTGCTAGGAGGGAACATCTAGAGAGGGCCTTGTCTTCTATTCCCTGATTGTTGGCCCTCACAGAGCCATCTGAAACAGCCCGTACTCCATCTCCACCATTGCTATAATATGTGATGCCAGTCTCCATAGTCATTTACCATGTGAGAAATTATCACAGTATGCCTTTAAGTACTTAGAAGTGTCATTTATTCTAAAGCTCATAGGCTGCTGCCTTTATTAGTGTCCCATTCCACAGCTTTTTCTTGGTTTACATATAAATAGACTGCCAGAGCACTAAATGTGCAGTATGTTATCACCACCTGTATTGTATCAGCTGTAATGTAAATACCTTCACCGTGGAGTACCACATTACAAAATGGCTACTTATGTTTAGTAGTTAGGTGATGAAATACTTTAAGAATTTTCCTACAGAAACAACCACTATAACTGGATTTATTATCAAATAACAAGAGTGGGGTCCAAGATTCCTGGGGCAGCGAAGAAGAGGCTACTACAAAAGGACTAGGCAGTATCATTGAGCATGAAAAATGAACAAGCATTTTGGCAAGAAAACTAGAAGACCAATATTTTCCTCCCCACAAAATCGTACCCGGTGAGTTATTGTTTGTAATTATGAGCAATCCGGTGAATTCTGTTGTGCATGTGCAAGGGCTTTCTGCTGTTTTCCTCTCTAGGCTGCACTGTAGCCTGCACTCTTCCAGATTCACCACAGAAAGTAACTTGGGGAGGGGGGTATAAAAATGGTGGATATCAAAAAAGAAAGTTGTCTGTCTGCATGCTCTTGATGTGCCTAGCGAATATATTTCACTGAAACACAGAAATCATTATGAGAAATTATAATCATACTTTTATATAGCAGTCTGCATGAGGAGCAAAGAAGGGCCATTACTGAGTGGGTTTAATAGGGCCTCGCTGGTTCTGACACCACATCTCAGAAGGCTTATCTGATGCTTTCACTATTGATGCTTTGATGTTAGCCAAACCCCGTTTATTTTCCCATGCTTTAGGATCAGCTGTTATTTTCTCCTCCAAATAGTTCTTTTAAAGATTTGTCTGTGGCTGGGTTACTAGGGTTGTCAACTGCTGTAGGAAAAAATGTCCTATCTCTTCAGTAGAGGACTAATGGGATGTTACTTACCCAGTGATATTATTTTCCTCCGTACCATGAAGAACTTCAGCTGCTCATTTCTACATATTTAGCCTCTGTTAAATGGACATAATTTCCTCCAGTCCTGTTGGCAATGGGTTACCCTAGGCAAACAGGTTTAGGTTAATTGGTTCAGATTAATTTAGTTTTTAGAGGAGGTTTTTTTTTTTTGCAGTGGCTCAAGTGGTTAAGACGCTGAACTGCAGGCTGTGGAAGGTCAGTAGTTCAGCAGTTCGAGACCCAGGTGCCACATGATGGAGTGCGCTCGCATCTCTAGTTCCAGCTCCTGCCAACCTAGCAGTTCGAAAGCAAGAAATTGCAAGTAGATAAATAGGTACCACTTCAGTGGGAAGGTAACAGCGTTCTGTGCACCTTGGTGTTTAGTCATGCCGGCCACATGACCACGGAAACATCTTCGGACAGCACTGGCTCTTCGGCTTTGAAACGGAGATGAGCACCGCAACCCTAGAGTCAGATTCGACTGGCTTTCGAGCAAGGGAACCTTTACCTTTACTAATTTAGTTTTATTGTTATTTGATTTTATTATGGTGGGGCTTTTCCTTAATTGTTAGCCATGTCAAACAACAGTATCTGGGAAACCAGGTTGTAATAAATAGATATGTGTATACTTAAATAGAGTCCAAGTGTCCTGAAAAAGTATATATTATTGTTCTTGTATGGAAAGCTTGTTAGCAATTTTTTCCAGTGGTCTTTTGATATATTTATACTATACAAAATATAGTGTTAGAATTGTAGCAGTATAGGAACTAATAGAAGATCTCTTTGTAAATCACTTGGCACTGGTGAATCTCCCACAAATTTGCTCTCAGATTTCTTGTCTCTCCTATTTGTGGTTCTGATGTCCAAGTTTTATGAGGGACCCATGATGTGCCAGTGAAGTTCTGTGTAGATTTTGGTCTTGGAGGTATCTTTCTTTTATCTTCTGTCTGTCACTACACGAGAAAGAGAGGATGAAGACACCTGTGAATGGAATTATGCCTAAATTTCAAATCAATGAATATGCATACTAAGGCCTTTTTAACTTTCAAGTCAGCGAGCTTACATTCTCTCTGTAAATAATATTTTGAAATCGACTCTCTCTTTTCCCCCCCACAGTTGCCACTTCTCCAGCTGCTCTGGCCCTAGCATTGCACTTCACACAATATCATTCATGGAATACAGTAAATCTGTAGAGACTGATGCAGTGAATAAAAACAGCTGGGCCTTTTCAAAAGTCCAAGATTTCATGGATTATTCTGCCAGTAATTCAGATGGAAATATGGAAGGACAGTATGGAAGGCCTGCACTATTTCTGCTACTTACACAGAGAATCCTGTTTTGAATATTACAACTATTTTCATGAAGGCTCAGTGGTTGTTTTTTTTCTTCAGTTCCACTGAGCTTGGGCTGATGGACAAATCAGGGGCTGAAATGCAGAGAGCACTGTGGAAAAACAATACTTCTGATACCTACTGAGTGGAGTCTGAAGAGAGTATACAGCCTTCCTTTATACATATTGTTATCCACATGGAGTAAATATAAATCTGCTGATTCCAGAATATTCTCTCATGGTGGAAAAATGCAGGAGCACATTCGGTAGAAGAATGCAGTGGTGTTTCTCTGGAATATGATACATTAACTTCATTGGTCTTGGTTTCCAAACAGGCTCATGAAAATATGGTGTGAAAAATGATGCTGTGGGTCCTACTAACCTTTTGGTTCAATTTCCTCCCTATAGGATTTATAGAGATGAGTTTACCAGATTCAGTTCTGTTATACAGTCAGGGAATACATGGGTAGCCCAAGTTCATGTGTCACAGAAACTCCAGATGGCTCGATTCTTTGAAGAACTATAGTCAACAAAACCATTAAAGGCCATTTTTATAACTGCTGCTATCATATTACTGGAAAATACAGACCTATAAACCTGAGGAATAGTAATAAGATTGAAAGTATTAAAGGACTGATCTTTCCAAATTTCCTGAATATTTGAGCTTCAGTGATTTCCTGACTTCTCTAGTTTTTTTTAAACAAATTAAAAACAAAACAAGGCATTCCTGGTAAAGTTAGTTTTTGTGAATTCACTGTATTCAAAATTAATTGGACTGCTGCCCATTAGATCTTCTGCAACTCTGCCGCATGGATGGATGCATAGTTGATGGATGGATATGAATTTAAAATAATGTGATTTTAATATGTTCTTAAGAAGTAAAACCTGGCAATTCTTTTGCAGAAGACTTCAGGATTAACTGTTTTTCTATTTGTGTCTCCAAAGTCTGCTTTGACATAGAAACTACTCTTCTCAAGCTGCTTTTATAATTCTGAAGTATAACTGGAGAAATGATAGTGGTTATGTCCAGAATCAGCACTACTATTCAGATAATTTTTACATCCACTCATTTGATATTGAAGATTTAGGATGATCAATACGTTGTCCCATCCTATTTTTAAAATGCATGAGATGACTGTTAGTATTTTTCTAGTACTTGACTAGTTCTTTTCTTATGAAGATGTCAATAAGATTTATTAAGACTTTGTTTTAAAAAGTGTGGTACTACTAGAAAATTATATTATAAATATTTCTAGCTGGTTATATAGTCAGTATGTAAACATAATCTCTTGTAGAGCTGGACAATTTAGAGTATGGTGCATATACAAGTAATGTTTAAAAGTGGTGTAGTATATAACTGTCTATGTATGTATATAGAATGCATATGTATATATGACCCAGAATATGGCTGTACTGATAGGTGAAGGCTTGATTCTGAGTGGAATTATCAGATTTGACTCCTGCACACACCACAGTTACATCTCTGAGCGCACACCTTTATTTTCTCTTGTAAAACAGAATGATCACCATTCATTCCTATAGCAAAAATATACTGTTACAATGAGGAAAGAAACCTACATTCTACCCTTGGCTCTGTGCAATAGTTATGGTCATACTCCTACCTGTTGTAATGACAGAAATACAAGATTGCTTCCTTCTTAATTTCTCCTAGATTTTGAAGTTCTGAATTATCAGGTCTTGACATTACCAGTGTTCCAATTTTTCTGTTCTTGATTTCCAAATATTACTGAGAATGCTGAACATGTGCAGTTTGCCACAGCTTTCAGTTTACATATTTTTCCCCCCTTAAAGATTACCGGGGTACATGACCACATATGTGCATTGATTAGAACACAGCACAAAAAGGAATTCTGATGTGATCAATATTTCTTTTGTCAAGAACCTAAGCCTTGGGTCCCTCTGGGTCACCACTCCTTTTGCAAGTGAGCAGCACCCAGCCCTGTAGGTCCTTGAGGTTAAATGCACACAAATAAAGCAGATAGGGCTTCCAACTCCCCCAGTAGGGCGGAAATCCCCCGCCCCGGATGCTCCGTTCCCCGACGCCGGGGAATTGGGGCCCGGGGGAAACCCCTCCCCGGCGTGCGCGTCACCGGAAGTGACGTCGCACGCTGGGGGCGGGGCCACACCATTTGAGGGGAAAACAAAGAGTTTTCCCCTCAAATGGTGTGGCCCCGCCCAGCGTGTGACGTCACTTCCGGTGACGCTCCGGCGGCGCGCGTGCACTTAGCGCGCACGCGCACACACGTTCCTGACCGGCTCCCGGAGCAGCAGGATGCTCCCCCGCCGGTAGGATTTTTAAATTTGGCAACACTAAAAGCAGACCTTCATAAAAATATATAAAGGTTTACTGAAACAGACTTTTTAAAAAGGACCAAATTTTACTATTCAGCAGAGTCTTCACTGCTTAGCAGTGAAGAAAACAACAAAGCTAACTTGCTATTTAATACGTTCAGTACCTGGTATTAGATGGCACACCTGCTTAGAATACAAGAGTCTAAGCTAAAGGCCTAAGCATTCTCTACACAGCTGTCCATTGCAATGTAGCATTACATAGTAAGAGCATAGTGAAATCATAAAGTTAGCATGGCTTGCCTATGCCCTAATTACAGTTTTTTGCCATCTGGCACCAGGTGGGCTCCCAAACCCAGTCACGAAGCTCGCTTGATGGAACTCCAAAAGATATTGACATCCACTCCTGCTCCCCCCCCTCCCATCCAGTTACAAAGCTGAACACAGGTTCTCAGGATTAACCAATTATCACATTCTTAAATCCAGCCTTGAAAAAGATAAGGATACTGTCAGCAGG